GTAACTTTCTTTTGTTCACGAACTTGGCACAGTGTGCTTCTGACCTCTTTTCAATAGGGGCCAGATTAGCATGCAGCAGTGCTGTGTGGCTCATCGCTGTGGTGGTGGACAGCTATTGTCCCCGGTGGTAATCCACTCGCACTAAATGCCCCAAACTGTGGTATACTGTTTCAAAACAAGGCTGGATTATCTCCATTATTGAGAGTGAAAAAATGTTGGTAATGGTTTTTTGTTCCGAGTAACATCTTTTGTTACAAGGCCCAGTTCCCTTGTCTGATTTCGGAGACCCTGGCCACCCATATAAACACACGGTGCCTGAAACCAGAGTCCCCTGCGGCAATTGGTTTTTCTGTAGTCTGTTTCAATGTCATACAATAGATTAGAGGCTTACTGAAGGTTTCTGGGGTCTGTCTTCATAAATTAGAACCATGGATGAGAAATGTGGGGTCCTCAGAGGTCTCTCAGGTCATTCTCCATACAATAGATCAGAATTGTAGGGTTATCGTAGGTTTCTGATGTTATGCTCTATGCTATAGATCAGGACTGTGGGGTCCGGTCTCTGAGGACATTCTCGGTACTATAGATCGGAATTGTGGGATTATCAGAGGTTTCTGAGGTCATTCTCCATACCATTGATCAGAACTTTGGGGTTATCAGAGGTTTATGAGGTCATTCTCCATACCATTGATCAGAACTTTGGGGTTATCAGAGGTTTCTGAGGTCATTCTCCATACCATTGATCAGAACTTTGGGGTTATCAGAGGTTTCTGAGGTCATTCTCCATACCATTGATCAGAACTTTGGTGTTATCAGAGGTTTCTGAGGTCATTCTCCATACCATTGATCAGAACGTTGGGGTTATCAGAGGTTTCTGAGGTCATTCTCCATACCATTGATCAGAACTTTGGGGTTATCAGAGGTTTATGAGGTCATTCTCCATACCATTGATGAGAACTTTGGGGTTATCAGAGGTTTCTGAGGTCATTCTCCGTACCACAGATGAGAACTGTAGGATTATCAGATTTTTTGAGGTCATCCTCCATGCAATAGATCAGAATCTTGAGGTTATCAGAGGTTCCTGAGATCGTCCTCCATACCATAGATGAAAACTGTGGGGTTATCAGAGGTCTCCGAGGTCATTCTTCACACCACACAGAACTGTGTGGTTATTAGAGGTTCCTGAGATCGTTCTCCATACCATAGATGAATGCCTTCAGCTGATGCAGCTCACCCTGCATTTTCTTAGATCTCCTAGCTGTCTGGTGGATGTCATGCAGCATCAACATGTCTCCCTCTTCACCAACACCCACAGTCATCTGTAAAGAAGATTTTTCAAAAATGAAAATGTAAAGAGATGGAGGATACAAGGCTTTGTTTCACATCACAATAACAATGACAACCTAGCACTAAATGTACTAGGTTGCTAGGTTGCTATCATGGTAACATATCTGCAGTAACTGTAGCCAGTGCTATCTACACTGTACATTCTAAACTACTCATTAGAGCCAAGTGTGGACAGACCACATGCACACTGGTTCAAATAAACAAATGGAGAGGAGAAATGACTTTCCAGTGCAATGTTAACAAAGCCATGTTGCCTTCGTGAGAAAGAATGCACCACAGTATGAACAAGAGAAACAAGTCCACAACACGATATCACATCTGTGTTTATGCCCAAACAAACATACAGCAAATAGATCCTGCCAAAATAATCATTATCATATTAAATCAAAGAGTGTTCCAAAACAGTAATGTTTTTGTTGATTCCAAGAGCATCAGTCCAAACCATATTAAAAAAGAACATGTTTCAATGTCACCTTAATAAACAACAGACTGTAGTTCTCTTCATTCAGTGGATACAAAATTACTGCTATACCCTTTCTGACTCCAGATCCAAGAATGTATCCATGTTAGAACACTCTCTGCTGCACATTATCTAACGTCAGTGAATACAATGAGTCCAAAACACTGGGGCTTGGCCTTATCTGCTTCAACAGATTTGTCACTTTGCACATCCACTGAAATTACTAACAACCACAGTTTCTTTAGAATAACAGCCGCCAGATGAAACATTTCATAGGTTCTATGTAAGAGTCCAGTTTTTACAGTAAATAAGATTTTGTATACCATTTTCTGGATTAGGTTCAATATTTATAGCAAGATTAAATTGGCTCACTCTTCACTCATTTTTAAACTAATTCAGTAAACATTTTGTGGAAGTATTACTTGACAATATTATCATGTGATTAGGTTTTCAAATATAAAATCCTGAATTTGCAGTTTCTTCAGTCTTCCCTTCTTTATTGTAATACCTGTCCATCTACAATACTCAAGGGAGAGTCTTTTTTTTTTCTTCCGAGCTGTTGTTTTGAAACTGAATTTACCATACTGGGATTTTAAAGTACATGTGAACTACTTTACAAAATGGGAGAGGATCGGGCCACATTAAAGTTAATGGTCTCCAGAAGAATCTTGCACAATGTCAATTTGTCACCATCATAGTGTCCATTTTCACCAGTGATCCATCAAAACAAAGAACTCAATGTGCTCTTTCCAATAAAACCTACAACTCAAGAGTGGCTCACGTAACTTCTTACTCATTTTCAAAGAGTGGGTCACATATTGCAGTTTTGTAAGAAAAACTCCCAGTGTTAGGAAATTTAGCCCCACTGGACCTCTGTGATCACTGGGTATACATGGTTTTGCATGAAAAAGGGGATTCTTTCAAGCAAAGTTAATGATGCAAGACTCTTGTGTCTTAATTTCAATACTAATGGCAGGAGTGAAATGAAAGAATATCAAAGAAAAATTCCAGAAAGGATGCACGCCTGTACAATGCAATCTGTGTATAACAGAATATCACTGGCAAACACTAACAACTAGACACCTAGCTTCAACAGGAGCAAAAGACAACTAGCTTCAACAGGAGGAGACAACATACTGCACCTTGTAGAGTTGCTTCTCTACATCTTTGAGTCTGGTTCTCAGGATGCGGGTATCATTCTTGAATCCTTCAATCTCCAGGTTCCTTCGCTTCTCCAGTGCGTCGTATCGTTGGTTCATAAGCTGCAAACGCTTAGCCAGTTTTACCATCTTGTCCTGTGAGGCACAAGAACACATCCCAAGTCAAAGGTCAGTTACTGAGATAGACTGTTTGTGAATTAGGAATAGAGGAAAGATTACGAAGAAAAAGCTCAGGTTGCTCCAACCTGGCAAGAGAAATTCATGACTCTTATGTAGTGTTAAATAAAAAATTATGTGCAGTTTGTTTCATTTTGTTCAATACTCAATCTTGAGAAATATGCCCAAGAGGCAGAATACTTCTGAACTGAATGCTTCTGTGTAGAGTTTCTGTCACAACAACATACATGAAGTCTTTTTCAAATTCAAGACATAAAAACTGCAATCCAGTTAGGGCCATGCCAGGTACCTGGGAGAGGGTACCCACATGCCGACTACTGATTACAGGTACTCAATTCCATTGTTAGAAAAAGTTTGAGTAAAACATCTTTTGAGTCCAGTTACCGACAATTTCCCAATGTCTTGTACAGTGGATGAATCAACGAAAATAGCCAAACACAAAACATTGCTTGCTGGGTGAAGTGACCACGCCAGTGCAACACTTACACCAGTAGCTTGGCAGTAGAGTGGGTAGGAACGCAGTGGAAAAATACTTGAATTCCAGCTTTTTCTTATCGGTAGCTGGGTACATGTACCTCTCTGTTACAGGAATGGGGTACCTGGTTCCTGTGCTACCTGGAAATCCACGCCACTAAATCTAGTCCAAGTATGGAAAAAGTACATACAGCCAGCTGGACTTCATAAGCACACAGAGCGTGTCCCCAACAAAACGATGCAAGCAATGTAGTCCATTTCAACCATAAAATGTCACCCGGACACATTTATAATGGGTCATAAAGTTGGTTTTAAAGATGACTTTCCTGGCTTGATGATACTTTTATTTCAAATTATGTTCCAGTATGCCCCAGGAAACACAAGCTATCAAAACAGTGTTTGTGCCACTTCCTAGTCTGTTCACTGGACTTAACTGACATAACATAACACATTTCACCTTGATATTTGATTTCAAAGGAGATATTGACACTGCTGACAACTGGAACACACATGGAGTAGTTAACCGTCTTTACAAAACATGGCACAAACTCAAATTGATCCCATTTGATAAAGAAGTCATGGACTTCAAAAGTGGCTGATCTTGGGAAAAAGCATGTGGAAGCATAGTACTTTGATATCACTTCATCAGACCCTTCTACAACCACTTGTATGATAGTCATATCCCTTGCATGTGACATCAGACTGTAGGTTCTACATGTATATACATCATTGGGAAAACTCCTTTTGCTGTACCCGTCACAAACAGTCAAAAACTCCTTCCACCTCCCCTGTACAGTACAAAGCCACATCATAATCCGCTTGACTGATTTTGACTGATAGGACAACTGTGTTGAGAATGCATCTTTGCATAGGAGGGTCTGTGCATGTTGACAAGCACAGCAAACTTATTGTGGAACAGCGGTCCCATTACTTCTGGCTGTCAGCAGCATACTATGTACCAATGAAATTCTTGATGTCAGGGAAAAGTTGCTACATCCTGACTAATATCGCATCCTTCCTAGATCCTCACCATTACCTCTCCCTCTTATCAAACCAATCTCCTCGTTTCCACCTTACCTTGTAAGCATCCTTGCTGACATCATCCCTTTCCCGGATCCTAGCTAGTTCATCCTCCAGGCCTATCACCTGTTCACGATACATATCGGCCAACTTCTGTGCCTGTTGAAGTTGGTTTTCTAAGGACTAGAGTTACAAGTAAAGAAGTCAACATGCAGGTAGAAACATGCAGGAGAGAAGCACCTTGGCTTTTACAGGATTCTTACTTTGTATTTTTATCAACTTCTTGTTTATAAATAGTTTGGGTTTGGCTACCTGTGCAGGTAACACCACTGTAATGAACAAGGGTCCACACAAACTGTGCATTATAGCTGTCCTATGTTACAGCAATTTTTAATCATTGATGCACCTGTTCCTGGCTCCAGCCCATTCAAACATGTGGCGGCCTGCCTCACATATGTTTCTGCATGAGGATTTAGGCAAACATGTTTAACACAAATAATGAAATTTGTGCATTTCCTTCAATGTAACTTCATTGCCCTCCATACTTCACCTTCAGGCAGTTCTTGATGGAAGTGTCATCATGAAATGAAATCAAGTGTCCCATGAAGTTTCATTAAGTAATTACAAAAATCACACGCAACATGAAGTGTAATTACACTGGTTCTAACTGCTGCATTGGAATTATATATACATGTAGATGGGTCGGGAACCATTCTAGTAACACTGGAGCCCAGAATGAAACACTACCAAAGTCGGCAACTTAAAGCGGTACTCAAAAAGGTTTAATATATTTTGACTCTGGACCCTGGAGATTGACTGGCCACCCAAAACCAAAATACAATATATTCATCAACCGAAAATGAGGACAAGAGAAATGAGAGATTTTCTTTCCACAGCGAGTCAGGGTCGATTTCTGAAACATGTGAGGTGAAATCTTTTGTTTATGTTAAGCTAATGACATCATTCTCTGACATGTTCCTGCATGCATGCCAGCAGCTACCTGTAGGCCTGGTGCAGAAGGATAGCTCTGTAACACAAAATGTTTTGATGAGTTTATAATAAAAAAAAATTAATATTCAAGATGTGAGTTGTCTCAGATTGTACAATTGTTGTGTCAGAATAATTTTGAGTACATCTACTCAAAAACAAAGAAAACAAATTAATTGAAAGTAGGCCTTGATACTGTTGTCCAACTGTGGCACCTGGGACAAGCATTTGCATTTTCTGTCACACACTGACCAATGGAATGTGGCTTTCATTGTGGGTTGTTTCATAAAATAATATGTTTAACTGACAAAACCATCAAGGTGTCGGGTTACTGGAGCCAGGGCATGTACACATGAGTGCTCATAGTGACTACTAACTAACAACACACGCAAAAAAACATGCACATATACACAGCGTACACGATAGACAATCATGAACAGATGCACACACCGTAAAGATGTAGTAGGCCAGATTCGCCTAACACCTTGGTCAAGGCTAGCTATTTCAGTCACTTCACTATGATACTTACTTCAATTTCCAGGCTCTGGGTTTGCCTTTCTTCAAGTGCATGGTCCGAGATGACCAACACATCATCTTTAGACACATCTAGTTGTTCCTTGCAGTGGTCAAGCTCTTGCAGGAGCTGATCTTTCTCTGCCATCCAGCCTCGTTCTTGCGATCGACCTTCATACTTCAGTTCTAGATAGTCCTTGGTGCTGTCATATAACATCTGCTGAGTGCGATGTAATCTGACAAGGAGAGAGTACAAGTTCTGCTCAAATAATAATACTGAACAAGGTGTTGGCAAAAAAGAAATGAATTCTTGAAAGAATGCCTCCTAAAGAAATAGAAAGTTTGCCTGAACTGTGGTAAGGAAAACCTATGCGGTTTCTCTGTGGAGGAATGCTGTTTTAGCGAGCACAACTTTCAGTCACCTGTATGTTGTTACAGCAAAATATATTGCCTTGATTTCTGTGGACTGTGAGTACTCACAATGTAACACCAACAGGTATGTGGTTACAAAGTGATACCTAGTGACATGTCAAAAGCAATATGTCAGGACTGTCCTCTTGACAACCCATTGACAGTGAACAGTACCAGCCTGCACATTTTGGGGGGGGCATACACTACACATACACACATACAGTCCCCATAGTTTTGGGGACAAACACATGACTGCTATTTCACCCATTTTGTGGGACCGAAGACATTGTGGGGACAGAGAAATGTTTTCACAACTCGGTCCTAATTTGCCTAAAGAAAGAAACTGTCCCCTTAACCAGGCCAAGGTCTTCCCACATACCCATACACATCATGCAACAAACACTCTGTAAGATGCACTGTATATGACACACAATACTATTATGTAATACGCCAATTGTCATCATGCAACAATTACTCATTAAAGAAGGACTGCAACTTAATTGGATATCTTCATTTTTTTAACACATGGTTTATTAAGTCTTAATGAACTTGTTTTATTAAATTTCAGTACTGTATATTAGAAGTTATTATTTATTCATATGCTCAATAAGCCTCTTGCGAGTTAAATTTGAACAAAATCTGGTACACTGAGTTCTTCAAATTCACGTGAATATAACAATTTGATTTCTCCATACTAAAGACACTGTTGCTACACCTCGTGATTCGGGGCAAGCTTTTGCTTAGTTACATAAGAGATGCCTTGCTTCAATCCACTGTTTTCAATGGATAAGAACGGCACAAAGGAACCAGTCTATTCCAGAGATGGAAGTTGCTATGCAAAAGCTTGCCCCAAATCACAAGGTATAGCAATAGTGTCTTTAGTCTGGGAATTAAACTTGTTATGTTTATGCGCAATCAGATAACTCAGTGTACTAGATTTTATTCAAAATTTAACTTGCAAAGAGTTTCCTCTGCTGGGAATAATAACTCAGGGGGAGGGGGCTCCTTCAATACTGTCAAATAGGACCATAATACCCATCAGTACTGAGAACTAAGCTTTGGCTAGAAGACAACATAGATTGGCTGTCAATAATGAAAGGTTCAACAAATCATGAAGGATAATAATCTCAGTTGATGCGTCATCACCAGCAATGCTAAAACAAAAAGGGGACAAAGCAAGCCTACTTCTCATTGAGGGACTGGATTTTGGAGCAGTCCCTCTCAATCACAGTCTGCATCTCCTCTATCCTGACCCTACGATCCTCCAGCAAAGCTTCAGTCTGTTCCCTAGAGAGCTCAGCCTGCTCCTTCATCTGAGACTGCAGGGCCTCAATCTGTAGCAGAAGGATCTCACGGTCTTCCTGGTGCCCACCACCCTCAGACTGCACAGCTTTCTGTTGGCCACTGGCAGGCCGCTGTTTGCCTGAAATTAAAATGGTAAAATGTTGGTCTCACAAGACCAAATGACAGATTGGCATGTACAGCTGTGTCTGATTTACTTGGCTATGACTTGAAATTGGACTGCAACCACTTCCTACAGGGTCATGTGTAATGTCAAGCCACATCCAAGAATCCAGCAAGGCTTAATATTAATATTACAAGACCAAATCAAGGACTGGCATATGCAGCCATGTCCAAATTACGTGACTATGACTTGACATTACATGAGTCAACAGCTATGGCTGCAGTCACTTCATATAGATTCATGTGTAACTTTAAGCCTCCATGTATCAGGTATGGCCTAGTGTTGATATTAAAACACCAAATGAAGGATTGGCAAGATCTGAGCTTTAGGGGAACACGTTTGCAGGATCTCAATATCAAAAGGAACCTCCAAGGCATGAGGTGCAGTGTTTCTCATCGTAATTCTTAGGCAGCTCAATGTTGCCTGAATGATGGATAATTGGACAATCCAGTTAACCATTTAGAACCTGGCTGCGGAACACAATCACATGACTAGTAATCAATATCCTTTCTGAGCTGTTATAATCCACAGATATAGTCTACATAGCTGCTTCGAATGGTCTTTCAGGGGACACTACAGGAGACGTGAATGTAGAGATTGCATAGGTTACAAAGGGTTTGCAAATCCCTTTTCCTCAGCCATCCTTACTTTCCACCAACCTTTTGTCTTGGCAGCTACTCTATCCTGTGCTTCCCTCCTTGTTCTGTTACTCTGAGGTCTTATTAGCACCTCTGCTTTTAAACCCACTTTTTCACCCTCTGAAAGAGATGTGATGAAACAAGAGAGTTGGGAGTTAGATTATGAAAGAGATCACTACTGGCTTAATATTTTACAGATTACAGATGTTCCCTGCTGTCATTTTAGCCTTTTACAGAGCTCAGGGACTCTAGGAGTATATCTGATTTGAGATCCTGATGACGACATAATTATTACAGGTCAGATGACGTCCTGCAAATGCAGAACTTGTGGGTTGCTCTCTCAGAGTTTCAGTTATTTCCTATTAACCACTTGCTGCCAGGGAACCCTGTTTCAAGCACCATGGGTTTTATAGCCAAGTTCAGAAACTAAGGTTTCAATGAATTTGATGCATCATACATTTTGTGAAAGAGCTCATGATTCAACCGTTTACAGGCTTCACTGTGTTATGCATTATACATTGATAAAGTCAAAATGTTTCACAGCATTTTATAATATACGATTCTGCTTTTCCTCAGGTCCAAGTCACAGCATTTTCAATTGCTAATGCTAAATTTGTACAATTGAAAATAACTGATAGAGGAAGACGGAGATGTTAAACCATTACTCCCTGCTTATCCAGCTAGCAAACATGCTTTACAATTCCACAAGGCAATCTAAACTAATTTAGAATGTTTGTAGTCAAGACTGACACTTGTAGTCCAGTTACATCAGCACTAACCTGCATGTGGGTATCTCTTCTGCAGGTGTTTCTGTGTGACAATAGCCTTTGATGGCGGCTCCTTGTGAAAGTATGTCACCTCAGGACCTGCTGGGCTTGACAGCGACAACAAATGCTGGATTCTGACAAACCAAAACACTAATTATGCAGAGCGATGCTATTTGTTTCCACAACTTCACTGTAAGTTAACCCTAAAAGTTTCTGGTAAAGCCTTGCAGTTTATGAAATAAGACATAAGGTACCATTCCTGTAAAACACCCTTTTTCCAAAGATAGGTCAACCAAAAATGCTACCACTTTCCATTAATGGCCAATATGCCTGAGGCATACTATACTGTGACCGTAACAATATTCTGACACAAAAAAGTGAAACTTCATAGATTACTCATGATTGTCTTTATATGTACATGCACGCCCATTTTAAAAAACGATCAGGCATGGGACAGCCAAGATCTTGGGGATGCCGCCCCCCCTATTCTGATATCTGAGATGATCTGAAAATACCAGGCTCTTTGGTGATTCAAATGGCATTTTCAGGCTAAGCACCTTTATATATACAGGGATGGATGAAGAAAACTTGAGTCATCTTCTCTTTTTTTTACATTAACAGATTTGTGCTATATTTCTGGGACAATCACACCCACCTCTTTCTGTCTTCTAGTTCTTGAATCTTAAGGCGGTCATTCTCAGCAAAGAGTCGTAGGACATGATCTCTCTCCTGGAAGAGGTAGACCTGCATGTCACTCAGTGCTTTCTGTAGCTCAACAATCTCCTCCTCACGTTGTCGCAACTCCCACTCAAGCTTATGCTGAAGACGGGGAGAGAAGCAATTCTGCTTTGTGTTGTGTTTAGATTTCTTGGTCTTAAATAGTCACCTCAAATTTACAACAGAAACGTGGCACCATTCATGTAACGCAGACACTACAGATTATTTGCATCACAAAGCTGAAGCAAGTCAGATATCATGGGCACGGCTTGCAAGAAAGTGTTTCTACAACCTTTCAAGTCCAACAGAAAGTGTTGAGTGATCAAAGACTATCTTGCTTTGATATCATTCATTTCTTGTAGAGATACTATGTACCAAACAACAGAACTGTTGACTGCGGTGATGCTAAGCATAGGTTTTCTTAGACCAGTTACATGGAAGCTTCTGGAGGTTTACTATTAAGGAAATAAATATATGCTGAGCTTTTGTTTAAGACCAGCTGAGGAGAAAGGATGCAACTATCAGCTTCCAGCCAGTCTTAAATGTTCATTTAAAAACATACAAAGCATATTTATTCCCATTCATTCTTCATTTTTTTCAAACATCCCTGTGGCCATGTTATGTTATGCTCCTCTCACAAGTAGCTGTAAACAGTCTCATTATACATGTATGGAGATTGGCATGTGCATGGCGCACACTCCACCAGGTAGCTACAGTCATATAGTTTGGATTATTTTGTCAGAAGTTATTTAGAAGAATTCATCATGATCCCCGGTCTTTTTGACTAAATACACTCAAAAACGTACAGCAATTCATTGTAGATTCATTTCAGGGCACATGTACACCATACGCAATCTGAAGCAAAAGACATCAAGAATCATCTATAATATATTTTAATTACAAAACTGTACATTGTTAAATGATATTAAGACAAATTTCACAAAAAAACTAGGAACTTAACTCTTGGAAAATGTATAAATTTGAAGTGCCACGGGAACACTTCTAGGGTAACAAGTGAAAGCGCAGTAGCAACAGGAGATTGTTACCTAAATAAAGTTGGAAGCCTGTGAAAGCAACTTATATTACATGTACCTGCTGTTCATAGGTCATTTTGTATTGTTCAAGCCTGTTCAGCATGTCCTCGTGTTCCCCATCAAATTCTGCAATCTTTTTTCGATAGTACTCTAATAGTTCTCTGGAGGGCCGCAAGTGACCTAGCCGTTCATTGACAGATGGGATGGCTGTGGCAACATCTTCTCCATCATCTGCTTCTTCTTCCTGGAAAGTCACGTGGCCTACGCGTTGTGTCATCATGCCACCTGGGGCTGGAGAGCGTGTAGGAGCAAAGGTTGTCTCTGGACTACGAAAGGTAGAATTGGGCTCACTGACTCTATGAGATAAACAAACCATTTGGAGTCAGCCAACATGGCCACTGAGAAAAAATGGAACAGTTATGAGGTGCATGAAGAAATATTGAAAGGAGTTCCATATAATACCTGGACATCACTTGACACCAAACCAAACCAAATTGTTCCTTGCCCACTAATGATCCCCAGCAAAGTTTGCAACAAGTTTATTCCTTTGCATTTAGATCACTTGTTTTCGTTCAATGTTGATGGATGTCTTTAAACTTTTTAAAATTGAATCCTTGCATATCAGGTTTATTTCATAATTGTGATTAACAAGGCATTATTTACGTGCGACTAGAACGCACCAAGTGCTTGGCAACATTAATTGCAGCAAGCACAGAAAGACAGTCCAGTCCCTGAGATCTATCCCACAATTTATTGTGTACATTTCTTAATCACAGAGACCGAGTTGACCTGGGACCAAGTTGACTTGAGACCGAGTTGGGTGTCGGTCACTTTGCCCCTTACCACTTTGCCCTGTGTCACTTTGCCCCTTACCACTTTGCCCCATGTCACTTTGCCCCTAACTATTTCGCCCCATCCCCACTTCGCCCAGCCCAATCCCCACTTCGCCCCACCCCAGCTGTGCTTGCACATGTTTGGAAACTTTGGCACAAACAAGGTGCCTTTCTTGTGGAGTGGATTGACACCAGGTGACAACGGATTTGATATTAAATTAGAATAATGAAAGGAACAATATCATTTCTTAAAATTTTCATCAAAGTGTTTCCTGCAGTCTTCTATGGATCCCCGTAGGCCAAAGCTACATGTATGTCTTCTCTTCCATTTTAATCCTGTCATTTTATAGGCCTTCTTTTGTGAATCCGTTTCCAAACAAACGTGACTTTTAAAGACAGAAATGAAAAATGCATGTCTCTCCTTTTCCTTCTCCTTCAGCAATTATATTCACTTGAGTCAAGAATCACAGCAACATTAAGGTTTCTCAATATTATGCAGACTCCATAAAGACTAATGAAAGCCATGTTTGATTCTTTATGGAGTCTGCATAATATTGAGTTATCTGAATATTATCAGTGGATCACCTACTGGATTAAGGTTTCGATAGTCATATACTGGTGAAACTCGGCACATGCATTTACAATTTCAACGTAACTTCACTCCTTATAGTGCCGAGTATTGCATTTAGGCCTATTGCCTGGCCACGGGAAAGGACTTTGTATGGCGCCACGTAGTAGCGCTCACCCACATAGGCTTGACAACTACAGACCGTTAACAGGATGACCATGTTTATTGTAACATTTTCCCTCGCAAATTGCCTGAATTTGAACCTTCAGTTTGGCCGGGCATATAAACAGTCGAAGTTGCAACTCTCACCAATCATCAGTAGGTTAAAACTAAACCAAGACGTTAAAATTTACATTGGGGCGAAGTGGCGACAGGGCAAAAGTGGAAATGGGGCGAAGTGGGGACAGTGCGGCACGGACATCCAGGACTTTCGCAAAATGGCGGGTAGCAACCACACCACGCTGATGAAAACAACTGCAAGGAGTGCACATGCACCTACTGATCAAAGAAAAGAACCCGATTGGTGCACGCGTACATCACCATGGTTGCTGTTTCCATTGGCGGGGTGTGATTGTTACCCGTCCACGCTGCCCCATAGGGTGGAATGGCAATGGGGCGATGTACCGGTAGTTAGGGGCGAAGCAGTTAGCAATCAGGGTGAAGTGGAAATGGGCGAAGTGTAAGCTCCATCGATTATAGATAATTGCCGATTCTGCTATATCGGCGGCCTGATATCGATTAAACCGATATTGAATTTTTTTCAAAGAACGTTTTCAAGCTCAAAAATAAAAAACAAAGGCATAATGCCGAACACCTTTTGCAGTTAGGTGGCTTAGGCCGCTACCAACTGGTCCTAACCGTGCAGCACATGGTAAGTCTGCTAGAATTTGCGAGTGTTTTAATCTTTCCCAAACAAAAGAACACCTGACAACACTAACAGCCTACAGTTAGAATGGTATATTCAAATGTAAAGGCATGCATACTCCGCCAGTCCACGATCTGAGCGGCTGGCTACATGCATTGACAAGACAAGAACATGTGCTTTCCAACACTGCTTCAAAATGGCTGGAACCAGCAAAACTGAAGTCTAAGCCGAATCCATGCATTTCGAAAATGCCCATAGATACACGGAGCAAGCAGGGTCATTAGTGGGCTTGACGCATGTGCTATCTGGAAAACACAAATGGCATGAATGGAGAGACCGTCAGCGGGTGGAAGCTAGAGATTGGTGAACAAAAGTCTCATTTAAAAAAAAGAAGCCATCTCATGCTTTGAAACCTTGTTCACCCCCTTGTTTAAGAGCTATAATCTGATAGTCACAGGCTGAGCAATAAGATATTACATGTCAACAAAATGTACCAATGGGCTTCTCCAAAACTTGGGCAGCAGTTAAGATATGTTTTGACATGGAACAGCCATCGAGATGATGAGGGGTCAAGTGACATAATGTTTAATGACCTTATTTTAAAGATGGCTACAGTGAGAGCGAGCCTGTGAGATCAAATGGGTGAAGGCAAAAAGACTGGAAAATACCAGAACAACGTGAGTGAAATCATTCAATAAATGGCGTTAAGAAAGTGGAGAGGCTTAGGATCATTTCTGTGTGCAAAAAAAAATATGCCTACAATTATAGGAGGGTGCGCCAAACTTTTTCATTATGCAGACACGCAAATTGCGTATACGGATGTGTGGCTAAGGACGGAGCAGTAGCCACTAGTGGTGCTACATCTGACTTAGCCCCACAAATACCGGTAGGCTGTAGTGGCCCTCTTTTACAATCTGTCTCTTGAGTTTTATATCTGTCGCCACCACAGCCCTGCTTCAAGGCATGGCTTTACTGCCTGAAATCCATATTGCAGGATTGTCACAAATGTTGAATCCTAATATCTTCCGAAATGACAATGACTCAACAATTTTACTTAGACTGGCGTATTCCTCAGAGTTTGGACTTTCATACAAGCATCCTAAAGTTTTCTAATGCTCAAAGCGCTGCCTTCGTTTTTCAAAATGGGGCTGCATATGTGGTCAGCATGTAATACTATAGGTCAGGTTTTTCAAGACGCCATACACCAGAAAATTTACGATTTTGGAAAGATTTAGTTTAGCCTACAGTTTGGATTTCAGGCATTGAAGTAGGGCTGTGGTGGTGACAGATAAGAGAGATTGTAAAAGAGGGCCACCGCAGCCCTATTTGTGGGGCTACATCTGACTATGTACATGTATGATGTAAGTTGAATAACTGCCTTATCGCAAATACTGCTTGGGCGATTTTGCGCAATGGTAGAAAGGCATTGTGGGAAGGGAAAACATTGCCCCTTTTCCTTCCCACAAAGCCTTTCCCCGTTTTTCCTTCCCACAATGCCTTTCTACTATTGTGCAAAATCACCTAGTAGTAGGCTCGAAGTCACACAGAGTATGACAGTAGTGACTTTGAGTTCTCGAAGCACTCAACCTAGCTTATCCCTACCCATTCCGACAGTCCCACTCCCACTGGGAGTGCCAGACATGAAAATTGCCAGAGCGATCGTGCAGATCGGCCAGTTGCCGTCCATGTTCAACATATTCAACGTGTTCAATGTTGACTAATAATCAGCTGATCGTCGGCAAGCACGCCCTGGACTAGCCCCACAAGTGTGGCACGGACTCTCACTCCCGATCCATCCTTAGCCACACATCCGTATGCACAATTTCGTGTCGGCGTACTGAACATTTTTGGCGCACCCACTTATAATCGTGGGCGCAATTTCTTTTGCATACGAACATGATTCTTGACCTTCAGTTTTCTAAATACCATTTGTTGAATGATTTCACTCACGTTATTCAGGTATTTTCCAGTCTTTTTTCCTTTATCCATTCAATCTAACAGGCTCACTGTCACAGTCGCCATCTTTAAAATAAGGTCGTTGAGCATTACGTCACTTGACCCCTCGTCGTCTTAGCGGCTGTTCCATG